AGGGAGGATCTGAAAGAACAGCTCAATGGCCCCTGGAGATTCTATCATATTTATAAAATTATTTACACATCCCATTTTGGTCATGGGCAATGTCTATTGGTACAAATAGCACAGCCACAAAGTATTCTTTTGCTTTTAATAAGTCATATTATATATCTTCATATATATTTATATTTCTGATTATCTTCATTTCCTCAGCAAAGAGAGAAATAAAAATATTGATCTATAAAATAAGCGGATGATAACACAATGCCAAAAATAGCTCATGTTAAGTGCAAGAGGTGAAGCTTGAAAGCAAGCTACATTGCAACAACTTATTTGACTCAACAGTTTAAATACAAGACTTGCCATAAAATAATTTTTGAATATGCTTCTTGCTTTTAGTTCACTTTTTAAAAACTACTCTATATACACAGATCCAGTTGTAACACTTGACAGTAGCATTATGGGGCATGATATAACTTTGGTACACAGTGAAAATATGGATGGCTAACGTCTGTAAATAATACTCCTCCACCAGTTAGAGCACTGTACAGTTAGGTGACCAGCCACCTGCTCCCATCTATGACCCCACCAGAGTCCCCAAAGTCCTTTCCAGAGCCATCGGAGAGGGCAGGGGAGACCGGGCTCACTGGATCCAGATGGCGTTTCCTCTCTCGGTTCTCCTGGGTTCCACGGTCAGCTCCCCGAACGTGGAAAAAAACTGCTCCATTTCTTTCTGTAGCATGTCGTTCCTTTTCTCAGCATCTTCTTTTGCTCGCTCAGCATTTCGCATTTTGATCTCGATCATTGTGAATTTTTTCCTTTCCTGATCCAGTTCATCGTGTAGGCTCATCATTTCTGTCTCCAAAGTCAAGTTCCGCTGCTCTAAGCTGCAAAGGGTGGGGGAGGGGAGAAGAGATAAAGTGATGTTGAACATTTGAAATGTCAGAGGGAGAGAATTCACATATTTTCAACAAGGATTAGTATGTTTTCAACAAGGACAATCGTGTCAAAATTAGGAGCACAGTTATAATGGGTTTACTGCTTCCAAACTCGGCGCTTCTTCTACCTCTCCCTCGTGCTGAGAACTGCCTTGGCCAGCTGTAATGCAGAGAGGAGTCCCAAATGAAAACAAAGAGTGTGCGTGAGAGGTTTGTGCCACTTGACACCCACACTCCAGCTGTGGAACTGAGAAACACAGTAATGCCGTCTCACTGCCAGCCTACCAGATTACTGGTGAAGGGAGGTGAGAGTGTTGGCAGGTGCTCCCTGGGGCCTGGTTTGTCTAGCAGTGTTTACCAGCATCCAAGTACCCGGAAAAGTTCCTTTCATAACCGCCTAGAAGTTACAGAGATTCAGTTCAGCAACACAGAGTAGTTTAAGGCATTAGCAGTCTGCATAGGAGATGCTAATCTCTGGATGAGCAGATGAGGGGTGGGTGTTTGACACAACCCCTATTTCCTGTATCGAATCATCTCACAGAGTAAAACCGAGCAGTGCCGAGGGAGGATCTGAAAGAACAGCTCAATGGCCCCTGGAGATTCTATCATATTTATAAAATTATTTACACATCCCATAGAGTGTTTGATATTCTTCAGTACTGGGTCCAATCAGCATGTCATCATTGTGACGGAGAAGTACGGCCTCCTCCTGTCGGAGGGAAAGGTAATCA